AATGTAGCCAAGATCAGCCAAGTCTGGCCCAGATCACTGTAAACGGCACAGCTGACCCATCGATTCATATGCAACTCACTGTTGTTTAAAACATTAAGTACTGAGATAATTCTCACACAGCAAAAACTAACTGATACATGCCCCAAGCTATTAAAATACACAAGCACATTCCAAACCGCCCTGTAGTTCTTTAATGCTTCTGGTAGTTTCATCGCATAAAAAATGAGCCGGGAGCACCAGAGCTCAGCTTTTACGTGTCAAGGGCTGGGTAAAAATTCTATAATGAACCCACTTACAGCTCCACTGGCTTAACACCTGGATCGGAGCTGTGGTTATTATAATTTTCCTTTTAGCCTGATACTTCCCTTTAAGTTTCCCTTTAACTCATTTTCTATCGACTTTGAATAATTTCAAAACAATCTTATTTGTGGTATGTGTTCTGTGGTTTATATTTTGGTGTCTCTTGGGGTGAGAGGAAAGGAAAAAGGGGGGTGTATTAGAAACCCAGTGAGGTGAAGGATAGACCAAAAGTTATATGAAATCATATGTTGAATGAAGCAAGAACTATATATAGTCTCTTGTAATATCTAGTTTTCCCTCTGATTTACATAAAAAAGGAGTGACATTTACTTTCATACCACGAGCCAAAATTTCTCAGGGCCTTTCCTCAAACCCAGATATGAGTAATTCATTCATTTATCAGATTGCTTTATTCGTTCAATAAATATGGAGCACGCAGGAGAGCTGTCAAGTTGTAGCAGACATGGGCATTTGCATAGATATTCTTCCAAAAAAAGAGGGAGAGAGAGTTTTCAAGCCAACAGAACTAACTCTAGTACCATAGTATGATTCAGAGTGGGGAAAACCTGGGGGTAGGGTGTCTACCCATTTTCCTGGACTGTCCAGGTAACCACAGAAATCAGGTAAGTAGATATAGCCTATCTGGCTTTCTCCAGAGCTGTGTACATGGATCTGGGGACATAATATAGACAAATAAACAAAAGCTGGATTCCATGACAAACCCTAGTTGCTAGCATCACAATTGCTCTGATAATTGACAGGCGGCGCTGGACCACCTACGAATGCAAGATGCTGAGTGTCAGACTTGGTGTCAAATTGGAAGGAATGAGCATGTGACCTTGCTGGCCTATACAGTGTTTAGGTTGAGTTTTGTATCAAGGCTTCCGTCCTCAGCCTTAGAATGTACTGTGACCGGTGAGTGAACTGTATTTAACACTAAAAAAGGAGCAAAACAAGAGTTCACAGAGCAATTATGTAACATTGAGGGTCAAAACTCCACTAGACCACTCAGAAGCGACATGACAGTTGTGGGACCTCAAACAGTTATTGCCTTTGAAAGAGTCCAAGTGAGTGTTGGATTATAGGGAGGAGGCACAGGAAATGTGGGCCCAAGATAACCCATGAGGGTGTATTCTGCCTTATCTCCTCAAAACAAGGAGTTCCCAAAGGGAATTCGCCCAGAAAAGTGGGTAAGTCGAGTGAAAAACACATTTGGTTCTTAATTTAGGCGAGAGAGATGTGAATAGGATTCTCATCACAGTTGGAAACTGGATTGGTGGGCTTCCTGCTTCTATTATGGCTGGAAAAAATGTATTNATCACAGCCCTGAGTTGAAAACCTTTCCTGAGCATCAGATTTCTCATCTGCAACGCAGGAATAATATAATGGTGTCATAGTATTATTGTAGGTTTAAGTGGGATTATACCTAAAGCAATAATTTAAAAAGGCATCTAAAATAGCAGGCCAGCACACAGTAGGTGCTCAATACATTTTGTATCTTGTCTCCTTTACTTTCCCATTCCTATTTCTTTATTGGCTTTTTCTAAGGCAGAAATTTGATTCTGGCTATATGTGTTTTACCTTCTTTGCATGTGATCAACCGTGTTTCAAATTTAAATCCACTTAACAAAAATATATTGAGCATCTACTCTGCCAGGCCCTGTGCCAGGTAATGGGGTTTTCTGTGGTGAACAAGACACTGTCCCTTGAGAAATCTACAGTTTACTAAGAAGTATGGCTTTAAGGATTTATTTGCTCAGTCTTGTATGTTTATCTTGTATATTCAAAAGGATCAAAAGTGATATGCTTGATTTTATTTGTAATTCTGAGGTGGTTTTTAATATGAGCTTTGAAGTGTGTGGTTTTCAATCATAGTTATTCTATTTAATAGCTATGATCTTGGGCAAAGTTATTTGTCTGAGTCACTGTTTGCTCATCTGTAAAATGAGAATACAAATGCTAACTCATAGCATCATTTATAGGATTAAATGAGATAGAACACATGCGAAATAGACTCAATGCTTAGCGCATAGTAGGTACTGTTATCATTATTGCTTACTTTAGGCTTGTCTGGAAAATTCATACAGATGCATGCAGATATATTCGACTATTTGTTTTCTCCACGAATATTTATTGAGTATCTAGTATGTGGAAGGGATACAATAGTGATCGAAAGCAGATACTTTCCCAGCTGTCTCTGTCCTCGTGTAGCTTTCGTAGGGAAGATGCACATGAACTACATGCCTGTAATGTTAAAGGAACGCCTGCGTTACAGATGAGAGCTTGGAGAGTAGGAATTCGATCCAGTCGGAGAGATTCACAAAACCTTTACTGGGGAAGTGGTGATTGAGTTGAAATTTCAAGGAGGCAAAGAAGTTAACTGGATGTGCTAGGCAGGGATGAGTGTTCCAGGAAGAAGGAACTCCACGTGCAAAGGCACTGGGGCAGGAGGAGCACATCAAGCAGGAAGAACTGAAAGNAGGTGTCAGCCGAGTTGGTTCCTTTCGAAGACTCTGAGGCAGAATCTGTTGCACGATTTTCTTTTAGCTTCCGGGGGCTGCTGTCAATCCTTCGCATTCCTTGGCTTGTGGCTGCATTACTCCAGCCCCTGCCTGTCATTACATGGTCTTCTTTCCTCTAGGTCTCCACATGGCCTTTTTATAAGGATACCAGTCCCTCATCCAGTATGGCCTCATCTTATCTTAAATACTTACCTCTGAAAAGACTATTTCCAAATTCTGAAGTCCTCGGGAGACATGAACTTTGGGGTGGACACTATTCAAACCAGTACATTACCACTATTGCTCTTACTTTATGTTCTTACCTTCTGTTTCCCAACTTCTCCAGTTTCCCATGTTCTCCAGTTTCTCTGACTCATTTATGCCACAATTATTAATCCTTACTAGGTTCCAACTATGTACCAGGCATTGAGAACACGATAGTAAACAAAGTCTTTGCCCCCAGAGGTCTTACAGTCTGATGAAGGAGACATAAACTAACAAATAATAATCTGATTAAATATATGTTAACAAATTGAAATGTTTATAAATTATGATAAGTGCTATGAAATAATGTGAAATAGAAAATAAGATTTTAAAGGGAGACATGATTCAGATTGGATCAAGGACAACGACAGACTCTGAAGAAAGGAGGTTTCAGCTGGGAGTTTATAATGAGAAGGCATTAGCTGGGTAAGTGTCAGGGGAAGAGTATTTGAGGAGGAGGAAGCAACAGTGTATGCAGATACTCCTCAGGCAGGGGAGCCACGGGGGTACATGTATCTAAAAGGACCATTATGGTGGGGCTGTAATGAGCCAGAAGGGAAGTGGTATGAGGTGAGGCTGAAGAAGTAGGTAGGGTCACGTCCCACAGGTAGGTCATGTTCAGCATTTCAGATTATGACCTAATTAACATGGGAGGCCATTGTAGGCTTCTAAGAAGAAGACGGATCTACCATGCAGAAAACAGAGAAAGGCCCGAGTGAAAACAGAGAGACCAGTGAGAAGACTTTTACAGTGGTCCAGGCGAGGGATAATGGCTTGGACTAAAGCGATGACAGTGGAGATGGCAATAAATGGGCATATTTGAGACATATTTCATAGAGTGGAAGTATACGGCTTGTTGATGGATGTAGAAGGTGAGACATGGGAGGCATTAAGGATCCCTGCTAGTTTCTGGAATGAGTAACTGGATGAACAGTGGCGCCATTACCAAGCTGTGATGCACAGGAGGAGGAAGGGTAGATTTAGGAGGGAAGATCGAGGGTTCAGTTTTTGACAAGTTAAGTGTGAGATGTCTGTGGGATATTCAAGTGGAGATGTCAAATAGGACATTAGATATGTGATTCTGGAACTCAGGAGAAGTGTCTGTGTTGAAATACATATTTGGGAGCTACTGGCAAATATAAGCTATTTGAAACCATTATTGTTGGCATTTTGTGTTTTTCTTTTAAATGTCAGGCTGACCTTGTACTGGTTTATTTGGCTTCTCTTTTAAATACCCATGCTCTGTGACTCTTCTTATACCTTTTAGTCTCCTATCTTAATCATCCAATTTCTGGCTCACTTTGCAGGTTTCTTTATAATTACATTGTAAAGTCAGAGCATTGCAATAGAAGGAAGTAGATTCTAACTATTTGTGTGCCTTGACAAATCACTTAGGATCTCTAGGTATTAGTTTCCCATCTGTGAAGGAAGGAAATTGGTTGTTTTCGGTTAAAAAAAAATTCTATGATTCTGTAATCTAAGGATTACAGAAGGTTAAGTTATGTCTATTTTTCTAAATCCACAAAGAATTCATCACTGGACCCCTGGAAGTTAGCTCTGATTAGATCTTGAATGATATTTAAAGTCCACATCATGACCAGCACTGTAAATGCCATTTTCAGATGCTATTGCTGTAATTCAGAATAGCATTTCTTCTGCCCTTGTGGATACAACGTATAGGGGGAAAGTAGAAATTCAGACATTTACTTATCAAAATAGCATCACCTTTAAATCCAAGACAAACACGTCTCACTGCAAATTCCTGTAGGAATGAGAACTGTTCGAGTGAAATTAGGAGTAATCCAAATATCACGGTGAGTGGTAGTGGATGTAATAGTTTGGATGATTGACCAAGGCACAGAGAACAGCACTTCCTCATATTCTTCAAGGTAAAGCTCTACAGAGCGTCAATTCTATCAGCAGTTTTTTTCTTACCTCAGTGACAGCGAAACTTCTCTTGCCACAGGGAACCACCTTGTACCACTTGTCATGCAGCATATCCATGAACCCATGTGACTTGTATTGACTGATCAGCTCGGATATATTAGAGGTCAGTGGAGAGTTGGGCGGGAGACCAATGCCGTATCCTAGGAGAAAAATATAATCTCAGATGAGTTTTTCACCTACGAGATTCCTAAGAGGTTGGTGTTATATTTGTGCGGTTGCCATCAGGCCTAGTAACAAGGGTATGGTGAACTGTCACCATCTTGCCTTCAAGGACTCAAATATATCCAAGGTATGATTACCTTAGATCTGCTGCCTCTCTGAGTAGATGAGTCTGGAAAGGAGAAGAATGGGCTGTGCGTAGTGTACAGGTGACACATTGTATTCCAAGGCCTTCTGCCCTTCCTTTCAAGATATTTCTTAGAAGCCATCTTTGAGGTCTTTACCGGGGCCAGGATTCTCTATCCACCTCTCCTAGAACCCCTCCTCTGGACCACAAATACCCAAAAGTGGGCTAGTCATAATCTTTGGTTTATGACATATTCTCAATCATTGGTCATGCATGACCCACTTTTGCTTTTATTTTGTTTATTAATATAATAAGACCACCTGAGCATACAATATNTTGCTCAGAGCTCACGCTCTAACCAACTGAGCCACCTGGTCACTCCTTCTTGTCTAATATCTTGCTGTCAACTTCGAATCACTTGGAGATTTTGACTTGAGTTAACCACGGTCACAACAAATGGTAGAAAACACCTAGTGATTGTTGCTTTGCGCAGTTCTAGCAATTGGTGTGCTTGCTTTCGTGGCTGAATTAACTCAGCTGACCTAGGTAAGTAAGCCTAAGAGTATTTCTTTTAGGAAAAGCCATGCGAATCTTTCCAAATAAAGATAAAAATGCCTGCCTTACGGGTTTGTAGTGAGACCCAATGAATTAATGTCGCTAGTTTAGTTTCTATCGTATGGTAAGAAACAGAACGCAAGTTCTCTAAGTCCCCATTTTCCTCTTTGCTTCCTTCAAATCTTTGCTCAAAGATCATCTTCTTTGTTCATTTTAAAGATTTTTATTAAAATATAGTTAATATGCAGTATTATATGTTTCAGGGATACACCATAGTTATTCAACATTTATAGACTTAAAGAAGTGATCACCATGATAAGTTCAGCAACCACCTGACACCATATAACGCTATCATTATTGACTATATTTCCTATGCTGTACATTTCATCCCCATAACTTATTTGTTTTATACCTGGAAATTTGAACCTCTTATTCCCCTTCACCTTCTCCTCTCCCCCTGACTTTTAAAAAATTTTCAATTACAGTTGACATTAAATATCATTTTATATTAATTTCAGGTGTACAGTGTAGTCAATAATCATCTTCTCAACGAGGACTTCCATGACTGCTGCCATCACGCTTATCCTTCTCATCTTGTAAATACTATCTAATTTTTATGTAGTATGTCTATTGTGTATTGTCTCCTCCTGCTACAATGCAAACTCTTCAAAGGCAGACATCTTTGTCTCTTTTGTTCAATGACATATCCAAAGTTTGTAGGACAGTGTCTAGCACCATAGTGGGTGCTTGGTAAATACTGTTGGACAGGACAAGTCCATGCTTCCAGGTGCTCTAAGTTCTCTGAAGCATGTTGGGTAGGTCATAAAGAAGCAGAGGATATGAATTACATGTTAGTGCACCCCAAAAGGCTTCCANGTAAATTGAGCCAAGTCACAAAATTAGTCAGCCAGAGAGAGCAGAAAGAAAAGGGACCTAATATTTATTGACTTACTTATTTTTTTGCACTGAGATAGGTATTATAACCACAATTTATAGTTTAGGAAACGGAAGTCCCTACAGCATTTAAGTGACAAAGCTGGTCTAAAAGTGTAAACCTGGGCTCTGTCTGCTATATAGCAAAACAATAGTTACAGCAACAATACTTACAATAACTGAACGTGGCAGGTGTTTTGCTAAATGATTTACGTATGATACCTAAAACCCTCAGGAGTTCCCTACAACACAGGTATCATTCAGTCACTGACATCAGTGATGAGGGTCAACCCCGCAGAAGGAAAGATATTTGATACGTTGAGTCCCCTCTATGTGCCAGACATCTTCGAACTACCACAGGACGGAGATGGGAGGGTTGTCCTGGCCTTTAAACAGCCTGAGTTTAGGGAGGAAGCAAACACGCATACCCCACGATACGGTGATCCATCCCCCACCCACCTGGGTTTTGTGGAGAAGCTGGCTCCTGAGATGAGATTTAAAGTATGAGGGGTAGAAAGGAGAGGTGCAGGTGGAAAAATAAGCAATCGAAGCTGAAGGCAGCGGAAACAAAAAAGAAGTGACCTTCTGGCATGGTGATTTAGGGGTGTGTGAAATAGACTGCTGTGGCTTGGGGGTGGGGTGCATGAGGCTTGTGTCATGAGGGAGAAACAGGGCCACACCAGGCAAGCCCTCGGGTGCCAATGCTGGGAGCCTGGGTGTCATCGTTTTGCTGGGGGCTACTGATCATCATCATCATCATCATCATCAATATNTTTCATATCGTGAACATTTATAGACTCTAAGACCAGTAATTCTAAGTACATTCCCAAAGAACTCTTCCACAAGCACACAAGAAGATATATACGAGAATGTTCTTAAAGTCCCTGTTCATAATAGCAAAAATTGGAAACGACCCAAGTGTTCTTTGACAAGAGAATGCGTAAATAAATTGTGGAATATTGACACAATTGGAATATGATATGGTGTGAAATATATGAGCTAGAACACCATAGCAATAATGTAGATGACTCAGCAATATGATATTGAATGAAAAAGGTCAGTCCCAGAAGATTGCAACATGAATCAGTTGTGTAAATGTAAAAACATTAAAAACAAAACAATATATCTTTAGAAGTTCATATGTAGGTGATTAAAGTATATTTAGAAAAAAATCAAGGAAATGATAAATAAAAAATCCAGGATAGTAGTTGCTCAAGACAAGAGTCAGGTGGATGTAATTTGTTGTGAGTTTTATTAAGGAGCTTGGGCCCTATATCCTCACTCTGTGGTGGCTTTATTTTCTTTCCAAACTGTTACTACATTGTTAATCTCTTTGATGAGCCATGTAAAAGGCTAATTACCTACATTTTATCTTTAGCTATTGGATAGCAGAGTCAAGAAAAAGATGCTTTGCCCTCAAGATGACTGAGAAAGATAAATTAAAAATATAGTTCTTTCCTTTTTTACAGAGAAAAACTAAAAGGCTGTCGCAATGCAAAAGATATTTACTGGAAACAAATACCTACTATAATTATTGTATCTTACAATTTGTTTCAAGGACATTAGTTTTTGTTCCTTTCTTATTGCAGATACATAAATTACAGAAATCCTTCTTTAAAAAAAGATGAGGCCTGAGGTGTGTATAACCAATAAAAGAATTCATAAATAATGCAGAAAAACATGTTGAGCTTTAAAGAGCTGTATGTTTTCTTTTCCCTGATAATTTTGTTTGTTCCCTAATAATGGCAAGTCAAGGAAATGATGACAATGTCAAGAGCATGATTAGAATTTTCCATAAAAAAGCTATTTTGAGTGCCTGTTTTGTGCCCAATAGTTTTGGTTTGAAAGGCAAGACTGACAATAAAAGGCTTTATGTGGGCAGCCTGTTCTTTTGCTGATGTTATCATTAAATAGCATTTTTTTTGTAATGAGTAACTATAAGGAAGGAAGCAGTTTTCTTTAGAAATGTTTATTATAATGACTGCTATTGACAGTTCACATACATTCCTTCAGTACTTATTTATGTGCCAGGCACAATCCTAGGCACGCATATAATAATATTCACTGGCTTCCTGATTCACTCACACAGTCATTCACTCTTTCCACAAATACACTGCGCGAATAGGCACTGTGTTAAGTGGTCGGGATTTAGCAGTGAGCAAGGCAGATACGGTTGCTGCTGTCGCGTTGCGTTCACTCTATTAGGAAGACAGATATTAAACAGTGCACTGCATGATTATTTCCTCACAGCGAGACAAGGGCCATGAGGGAGAAGAACGGGGGCATATGCGAACTATGCGCACAGAACGCAGGAGGACTTGGAACTATCTGGTGAAAGTGGGTTGATGGTTAGGATAACTAGGTCAGGTTTTTCCGAATATTATTGTATTTTTTTTTACAAGACAATACAAACTATTGCATTATAAAACATTGTAAAAGATACAATAACATTCAGCCCCTGAAACAAGAGTTTTCAACAACAACGAAAACAATAACTTCTAATATTTATCAAGGGCTTACTATATACCAAGTCCTGCTGTAGAAGAAGTTTTTACATACCTTACCCCATTTTGTAGAGCCCGCATTAGACCAAGATTGTGCACTAGATTGTAGCATACAATCCAGTTAAGTCGCTCTGGGATTCTAATAATAAGAACTAGAACATCCTGAGCCCTACTGTGTGCCAGACAGTATTCCATATGTGTCTAATCCCTATATGAACCCATGCAGAATATGTATCACAGTATTAAAGACTGAATAAGGAAACTACCCAGGGTCGCAAAGCTAGCATTTGAAAGTAGGTCTGTTTGAGTCTAAACCAATGCTCTTTCCACTGTATCTAG